TCAAAGAAATAAATGCCGGTATGGGTAGGATCATACGTTTCACAGATGTGCTTCAAAGCCATTTCTCAGGGCAATCTGTTGGCTCAGTCCCTGCGTTACTGAAGACTGCCAGTCCTGTGATTCCATCATCGAGCTACTTGATTCTATAACATATGTAGAACGCAGGACATCAGAACTGTTTTTGCTATAAAGATAGTACCAGATGGTGATGTAATTACTATAAAGGCCCCATACTATCCACCTGTCCTCGCAAAAACTCTCTCTGCAGACATGCACCTAGTTGACACAAAGGAGCTATTCTGAAATGTGGTTTGGAAGTGTTTTATTTCTGGCCTACTTTGCTTTGAATTATTCTTTCATTCACCAAACAGCTGTTCCAGGTTATTGTGCAATGGCTAAGCAATTATTATTAATAAAGAGCTTATAGTCTAAGCTTTCAGTCTTCTGTACAACACTCACACAATGGCGGGCAGCCTTTGAGCCTAACCATACTTGCAACAGTGATTGCTTGATGTTTATATTAAATACCAAGCTGAAGAGGAGACTTGCAGTAGTGTTTTTTCAGGCATGTTACATTTAGAATTAAGATCTGCCTAGAAAAGAAGGAAGCTACTTAAAAACTTGACGTTTCCTAAAATTCATAAATTCTATGCAAAATTCTGCAGTTTACTCTAAAAGAGAGGTAATAAAATACCTTGAATAATAATGATACACTAATACACTAATAGCAGCAGCTAACTCCAACTCCAAACCTTTTTTTTTTTTTTTTTTGCCAGGGTAGGGGGTGGGCGGGCAACCACCACTGCATATGCCATGCTTTTGCTGTAAATAAGAGCAAGTTGTTTAGTCAGGCAAGTTGTAAGGGTAAAGTAGGGCCAGTTAGCTTCTTCAGACTGCTACCTGAGTCACGCTAGCTTATGGGCTCCAGTAAGCTCCATAGATTCCGACATGTTAGACACTTGGGCCCTCCAGACTTTGATCAGGCTGCCTGACCTTTACCAGATGTTTCAGAGCACAGGGTGCTCTATGACAAATGAGCACAGGGTGAAAATGATCCAAGGGTCTGAAAGATCCTAAGCCATAGGACAGCCTCTTCTTTTCTTTATAGGCCTGCAACTTCTGATACATTTAGAGGGGATGCATACATTAAGTTACCAAGTGATGAATAAATGAAGAAAGAGAAGGAAGGGTTTATTTGGCGAGGTTATCCAGATTTTTGGTTTCCCAGACATCCTTCTCTTCTGAGCCCACCTTCTTGCCATCTCACTACTGATAAGCAACTTCAGCTGAGAAAGTGTGAAAAGGCATGACAGGTAACAGCAAATAAACCAGTCAGTTCTTCTTGTTAGCCAGCTTTTGTAAAGGTTCTGATGGAACGGAGTGGCACTTCAGATGGAAAACGGGTAGAAAGAGTCCGACTTTGTCCCAGAAACTGCTCTTCCCTTCATTCAGACATGCCGCCACTGGCTCCTGCTTGAAGCTCCCGATGAGCACAGGTGTCCATGCTCTCTGGGAACAGACCTCTGCATCTGTTCTTCTCCTTGGCATGGCTTCCTCAGGCCCCTGCACGTCTCTAGAACTTGGTCTTGGGCCCCTTCCTGCTCTGCCCCTGTTTCGGCTGCCTTATTTTTTTTCCACTGTTAGGTTCAGATCCCATCTGTTCATTTCTGTCTGGTCTTTGCCTCACTCTGATGTGTGATTGCTAGAACCTCTCCATTCTCAACTGCTCACAGACTTCCAGATCACCAGCTAGGTTCTGGACCTTTCCCTAGCTCTCTCCCCTGTCTCTTCCCTCCCTTCTAGCCTACACTCTAAGCTTTGCCTTAAGCTTTTCTGAGTCTAGCCCCTATTATCATCTATGGCTTTTCTTACTGACAGAACTGTTACCTCTTCTTATCCCAGTAAAAATGACATAGCTATAACTCCGTGACCTCTAAACTAGAGGAAGTTACCACATTCTATCATCAGTTTTCTTGTCCTGACTAAAGCTAAGCTTCTTTTTTTTTTTTTTTATGTTTTTATTTATTTTTGAGAGACAGCATGAGCAGGGGAGGGTCAGAGAGAGAGGGAGACACAGAATCCAAAGACAGGCTCCAGACTCTGAGCTGGCTGTCAGCACAGAGCCCAACGCGGGGCTCGAACCCACGAACCGTGAGATCATGACCTGAGCTGAAGTTGGTCACTTAACTAACTGAGCCACCCAGGTGCCTCTAAAGCTAAGCTTCTTGAAGACATGCACCCTATTTCAAATATAATTGTGATGAATGTTCCCAAAAAATGGAACTCTTGAGAACGGCTTCATCGCACATCACATCTTTCAAGTTTCACTCTGAAGTTAATGAAGTCTCCACCAACCAGAATCTAACAAAGTTGAACTACGAAGTTTACAAACTGGTAAATCCCTAATAAATTAAAAATATATGGGCAGCACGGGATAACAATGGGAAGGAGCATGCAACGTGAAGCCACCCAGATCTGGGTCTGAATTCTAGCTCTTTTAGCAAATGGAGTAACAGCTCTGAGGCTTAGCAGTCTCACTGTTAAAAGACACATCAGCAGGACGCCTGGCTGGCTCAGTCAGTTGAGCATCTGACTCTTGGTCTTGGCTCCGGTCATGATCTCACAGTTTGTGAGTTCATGTCCCACTCCGCTGACCTGACCAGGCAGAACCTGCTTGAGATTCTCTTTCTCCCTCTCTCTCTGCCCCTCCCCAATTCATGCGCGTGTGAGTAAACACTCTCTCTCTCAAATGAATAAATAAAACTTAAAAAAAAAAAAGAGATTAGCTTGCTAACAGAACTGTTTTAAGGATTAGTAATAATGTACACAAAGCACTGGGTATATACAGTAGGCCCTTAATAAATGGTAACATTCATTCTTGTTATTGGAGCCAGAAAACTTGTTTACCATTAGTTTACCACTAAGTAACTGTGTGATCTTAGACAATCACTTAATATATTTCAGCCTTTGTAAAATGGGGAGCGTAACACCACCTTATCTCATGGGTTGCCAAGAAATTCAAATAACACATGCAAAAATTATTTTGTAACCTTGAAGCACCACAAAGGTGTTAATGATTACTATCATGTGTTAGTATGCCTTTGTGCTGGGGCAAGTAAAAGTAAAAACAAAACAGAACAAAACCAAATCCTAACAGGCAATAAAAGTAATGTTAGATATTTTTGGCTAATAGGTTGGTTTTATGCTGATGCATGCAACTGAATTTATAAATTATGAAAACAGGATAATTATCTCTTCCATTGCTTGAGTCAGGCTAGCCAGGATGATTATTACATTATTTATGGAGAACTTTTTCTAATCCTCTGCTATTCTCAAAAAAAAAACAGTAGTCTGAGATTATAGCAAAACATTTTGAAACTGCACCCGTTATCTTAATATAAGAAATATCATAACACTTTTTTTAATCCCACAAATTGGTCTAACCTGAAAAATACTTTAAACCCCTAGGACAGCTGGCCTCGTATCACTCTGGAGAGTGAAAGCAGAGATCCAGAGGCCACAACACCCCACTGGGCCTGGAGGCAGAGACCCTGACAGCCCTGTAAATTCCCTGAAGACACCCTCCTTTTGAAGGTCATGTCTCCCAGTCTATGAAACCGTTTATATGTATTAAGAAGAATAAAGGCCATTTTTAGACAGTGGTGCCTATTCTTCAGGGTTCCAATTACGTAATTCTACAAGGATCCCCTTGAAAACCAGTGAAGGCTTTTCCTGAACCTTCTCTGAGACACACACTAATGAATGCAATACTTCATTGCTCCTGTAAGATTCACTGCAGGGCTGCTGGCAAACAGAGTTTTCTTCCATGAGTACAAATGTGTTTCCTGTATTAAAAAATGAGAAAAATCACTCCATTGATACAAAGGCCAATTTCAGCAGGCTGCAAAATACAAAAGTGGAAATTCTCACTGCAATGTCTTTCTCATTGTACGGGATCCCAGTTGCAATAAACATTACCAGCTGGTTTTTTGCTTTCCTTTTTGTCTTTCTATAAAACTTTAGTCTACTGAGTCTTATTAACCAGAAATCAAACTTTTTAAAAAGGTAGAGGAAATACAGATTAAGGATGGCATAATAAGCATTTGCACAAAGATCAGTCCTGGTCCCAAATGAAATTATGAGGCCATTAGATAGGCATTCTGTAATAAAACTAAGATATAATTTGAAAGAGACCAAAAGAACTGTTGTCTCCTGAAAAATTGTAGAGAACATATCTGGTTAGGTTGAAAGAATAAATGCTGCTTTTTGATATGAACATTGTTTTCACATGAAGAGATACTTTTAAAGTACCAAGAAAATCATAGTTTAAAAAACAAGTCCTAGTACTTTGACCATTTTACCAGTTGGGCTGTGACAGTATCAGACTCTGAATGAGGTCTTGCAGAGGCAATAAGACACACAACAGGACAAGAGTTTAAATTGTCTCTCTTCTATCCTGGTCCTTGTTTCTCTCCCTCTCTTCTTAACATTTTATTTTTGAGAGGCACAGAGTGCAAGTAGGGGTGGGACACAGAGAGAAGGAGGCTCCAGGCTCTGAGCTGTCAGCACAGAGCCCGATGTGGGGCTTGAACTCACAAACTGTGAGATCATGACCTGAGCTGAAGTCGGATGCTCAACCAACTGAGCCACCCAGGCGCCCCTGTATTTCTTTACCAACAGTTTTTAATCCCTAAAATAATCTAACTATAGGTCTGATGAAAGACTGCAGGGGACATTTTTATTGAGTGTAGAGAAACTCTTTAAGTCTGAGATTTAGAATGTAAATTACAGCAGCAGCAGTGAGGGATCAAGAAGGCTTGGGGGAAGGAGGGGATCAACGGAGCGTGGCTATGGGCTGTCTAGGAAGGCAGAATGGATCCCCGGGAGTTCAGCATCAATGCAAACTATGAGGCTGGAAAAAACTGCAAAACCAAAACCAAGCCACCCTCTCCCTCCACCAAAAAAAACCAAAAAAAAAAAAACAAAAAAAAACCCCACAAATGAACCAATTAGTCATTAAATTTTTTATCTCTAAATAAGTTATAAAAAGTAGATGTTAAAAGGCAACCTCCTGTGTCCGTGGCTGCAGATGCATGAACTCTCTTTAGCTTGGAGGGACCATCTGCTCACGACCTACTGATCATGTTGCTTGGGGCCCCAGGGGACTCGGACTCTGCTGGTACCTGCTGCCCATGCTCTCTGCTCAGAGGCAGTTAGCGTCCCTCTGGTTCCTGACGGATCAATCATTCTGTTCTCATGGTGGCTCACAAGGAGGCATGGATGCCCGCAGGCCACGCATTGTTTCACATCTTTCCGCTTTTCCAAAGAGATGCCAGGCCTGGGCCATTTTGCGAAGTTTAGCAAGATTGGGTTTAATCTGTGGGAAGAAAGAGAACAACTCCCATATGCAGTATGAAAAGCCAAGTACCATATAAAAATGTCCTAATTACAGCTATTCCAATCTGTTCAGATTTCTGATTTCTGGGTTCAGGAAAGACTAGAGATTTCCTTAAGATAAGTAGTACTGCAAACTTTAAGTCTAGATTCCCATCTCTTCAGGAATGAGGACAAAAGTTTTTTTCATTGTCCTGTGAAACAGTAAGATTTTAATGGAGTAAAGCCTATTGGATGCATCAGAAAACTCCATGCAAGTAATGAATTCACAGCCCTTACAAGGAAAGGCCAGCAAAAGAACAGATTTGGAAAGCAGCAACATGGACATTCCTATTATGCTCCTGTGTTCTGTTTCATTTAAGATTATAACAAGAACAGAAAATGTCTTTAATTTAAACCACTCTGTGTCTTTATTGCATTACCCAAGTCATTGTTCCTGGGCTGCTGAGTAATCAAGGCCAAACCATAATGTGAAAATCTCCTAAGCTTGGTTTCCTGCCGGATGATCCCCAAATCATAACTCTAAAGACCCTTAGAAATGGCTACCATTTCCAGGAAGGGCACCACCAAGACACTGGCTGTTGAGGTTGTATTTGCTAGCAGTAAATTTGCTGTGTTTTTACCAACTTTCTGTAGCTCCAGAGACACTTTCTACATCTTATCAAACCTAGAGCCAGTAGGCCATAGATGTTCAGGGTACATCAGTCTGTACATGTGTTAAGCTTAACAAATACAAAGGCATCACATACAAAGGCATCACGTGTGTAATCTGACAGTGCAGCCTGAGCTCCATTGTGAGTCTGAGCTAGAAGATGAAATGGTAAGGTTTTATATAAATAAACTTTCAATGCATGCTTTTCAAAACTCTGGTATTTTGGAAAGACTTAAGACAAATTACAGTTGGCTGATAGGAGCTGGAGAAGAAAGAGAAGATAAACTTTGCTCCTCTTCTCCGATTAGTCATTACTGTACCTGTTTTTCCTGCTCCAAGTGGTCTATGTCAGCCAGCGGCAGCATAGACGGTCTCCCGTGAGCACACTGGAATGGCAGCTGGCACCGAGACAGGGCTTCGATAAGGCGATAGCTCTCCTCCCGGCTCAGGCCATCATTAAACTTAATGGCCCCTACATGGAAGACAGAAACAAGAAGGTTGTGGTGTGTATAGTGGGAAACCAATGCTGACTCTGGGCCGGCGCCTGATATCTGGGAAGAGTAAAATGCGTCTTGGGCTTATTTCATGTGACCGAGACTGCTTGAAATTGGCACTTTTCAACACGTGGATGACTCACCTGTGCCTCAGTTTTTCCTTATGGAATCACTGTCTTTCTAATCCCTAGAGGAGGCATTCCTTCACTTGTCAGGATTTTGCTTTCATAGTTTTTCTCAGAGAGACAAGGGCAATATTTTGCTTACTTCCTACAGGTTGTAAAATCAAGATTATCTTTTAGCCAGTCTATCGCAGAGATCTCTAATGGTTGTTTTTCCTACAATGTCCATTTTATGTGCTTTTTTTTCTATTTACATAATAATCTTCCAGATCTAAACTCTCATGTTGTCAGAACCTGCCTTTATGCAGACATTAATTCACTCGGTCAACAAATATTTATAAGTATATACTTTGTGCAGCAGGAGATATGTCAGGCAGTAATGAGACAGATGGTCTCTGCCTTTATGGAGCTTATGATATAATGGGTCTAACAGGTGAGACAAACTTTAAACAAATAATTATACAACAATTAGAAAATTTTGTCATAGGCTTCTAATCTCTCTTACTAGCCTAATTTCTTGATATCGTTTGCTGCTCCGCATATAACTAACTTCTTTCTGCCGCTGGCTTTGTGCACAGGCTATTTCTACCCCTTGTGGCAAACCTTTTCTTCCATCCTATGAATCCATGTCCCTCAGTTCATTCAAAGCTTGACTTAAAATGCATCCTCTATGAGTTACCCCTCGACTTATACACGTCAGTCTGAATTATGGTCAAATGTATGTGTCGGTATTTTGCTTTGTAAAAGCAATTTTTTAGTGTGCACTTTCAGTATATTCAGTTTCTTAATTTAAATTGTACCCTCCAAGGGGCGCCTGGGTGGCTCAGTCAGTCAAGTGTCTGACTCTTGATTTCGGCTCAGGTCATGACCTCACGGTTTGTGAGACTGAGCCCCAAGTTGGGCTCCACACTGACAGCTCATGCTCTCTCTCGCTCAAAACAAATAAACTTTAAAAAATAAATGATAAACTGTACCCTCCAAGAGGTGAGTAGTAAATGTGCCTCCCACTCCTGTCCTAGCTGCCGTGCTCCTGCCGGTGCTTGGCGTACAGAAACACTCACTCTCTGGTGTGCCGTGTCTTACCGTGGCAAGCTTGGGATGCCAGCACCTTCTGGACAGTCAGCGGCAAAGTCCCTTGGATGCCTCCGGTGGTCTGGAGTAGCTGATGCATAAACATATTCTTCATTAACAGGAAAAGGAAATGGGACAATAGGGCTTTTGTATGTGGTGCCTCTGTGTGAAACCCCAAAATAAGAAGCTTACCTCCACCTGTTCTCGAATAAATTCCTACAAAGCAGAAAAGAAAACAGGCATTAATCTGTTGTTATAACTGTTCTTTTAAAGTTTAAAAATACACCTCCTGGGGCATCTGGGTGGCTCAGTCGGTTGAGTGTCTGACTCTTGATTTCAGCTCGGATCATGATCTCATGGGGGTGGGACTGAGCCCTGTGTCGGGCTCAGCACTGACAGCATGGAGCCTGCTTGGGATTCTCTCTCTCTCTGTCTCTCTCTCTCTGTCCCTCTCTCTCTGCCCCTCCCCCCTCCCTCTTTCTCTCAAAATAAAGGAAAATTTTTAAAAATATGCCTCATAAAGGAGAGAGTTCCAGCAATACAGCACTTAGGTGCAAATAATTTATTTGTTGTGAGGCACTCTGAATATGAAATACCAAAACAATTTAATAAAACTCCTATTGAAGACAGAATATACTTAGCAGAAACTAAAACTTCCTCCAAAGATAGCTCATAACTCATGAGCTTATGTAACTGCTGAGAGCAGCCTTGATGATTCAACAGACTCTAAATATCAGGGAGTCTTCTCACTAAGAGGCTGCTTGTATTTATGATGTTAGCCAGAGCAAGTGTAATATTACACACAAATGGAATAAATACACGACAATCATCAACACAATGGAGCACTGAGTGGGATGCTCGCTTAGATAGATCATAAATGTAAGTAGTCACATTAGTTCCCACAGACTTTTTTTTTTTTTTTTTGACAATTCCCTTTGGGGTCAAAAAGCTTATTTTCTGAGGCATTTTGTTGAGAGTTTCTCCTCACTAGCATATCTCTGTCCCTTTTCAAAAGTTACCCCTGCAGATATTAATATTTACAAAAGGACTTCAAAGAAATTTAAAGCAGACGCCATTTTTCATGCTACCAATTTGTTTAACCTCCAGAACTAAAAAAACTGTTTTGAGATGTGGCACCTTTAATAATTTCTTTATAAGAAAACACAAGATTATTTTTACTCCTAGAATTGGCTATGAATCAATCACCTTCCTAGGATTACAACATGGTAGATCTTGTGAAACCAGACTCAGAAAATTCTCCCTTTCCTCAAAGACACCCTAGTCCACCATGCTTATAAATGGGCATAGTTACCAGGAGCTGGGTGGTAGATACTATATAGTTTTCATAAGCCACATACATTCCCAAATAAACCTACACAGAAAGATGTTTCATAACACCTGACACATTATTAGCAAAGCTTAGTATGGACCTTGATCAAACCTAACCTCTTTGCCATTCTCTCTTGTGCTTGGTCATCTGGGACTTGTGACACATCATTTTTTAAGCCTGTGAAGGGGAGATAGATGGTATCTCTGTTCATTTCACAATTCAGTGGTTCAATTAATATCAGATAACTTAATATTAAAAAGGTGCATTCATCAAGCTAAAGAACAGAACTTTATAGAAAATATTTGTGATCTTTAGGGGCGCCTGAGTGGCTCAGTCAGTTGGGCCTCCGACTTCGGCTCAGGTCATGATCTCCCGGTTCATGGGTTCGAGGCCCACGTCGGGCTCTGTGCTGATGGCTGGGAGCCTGGAGCCTGCTTTGGATTCTGTGTCTCCTTCTCTCTCTGCCCCTCCCCCACTCACACTCTGTCTCTCAAAAATAAATAATAAAAAAAAAATTTTTTTAAATATTCGTGATCTTTCATCCATTAGGATCCAAGTAGTCACCTCCTTTTCAAGATACCAGAACTGTTCTAGCTTCTTCCAGAATTAACAAAATCTCTCCTGAGCAGTGTGACTCAACATAGTCAAGATTTTCTGAAGCCATAAGCTTTATTTCAATTTGAAGTAAACTCCTTACCAGTAGTCTTTGAAGTCTCTTTGGGAAAAGTTTTTATTATAATTTTCTGGTTAAATACTTAGAGATTCAATTACAACAAAAGATTCTAACAGATCTTATCTTTTGGATTTAAGAAAATTTGGAGGAGGAGCCCTGGAGAAAAAAGGCTGTGTTGGGAAAAAGAGCACTGCTGAGAGCAAAGCAAAGGTTGTCTGATTAGAGGGCAGTTCTGGAAGGGCTACACTCATGATGGTCCAAGCACTGGCACTATAACTGCCTTTTCCTCTCGAATGCCTTCTCCCCTTAGCCTACAGACACGCTTAAGTCTCTCCCATCTGAAAACAAACCAAATTCTTTCCTTCACCCCATGTCCTGTCCCACACTGCAGACCACCTTTAGCTCTCACCCTCTCTCTCTTCTTCTGAAAGATCTCGAGAGAACAGTCTACTTAGCTCCACCTCTTCTCCCTCCACTCCCTCCCTGACCCAGAGCAACCTGTGTTTGGCGCCCCCACACCCACCCCTACAAGCAGATGCCACCATGGAACAAATACTGTGCTTGTGATTGCCAAATCCAACTTTTCAGGTTCAATGGCTACTGTTGACCATTTCCTTCTTGCTTAAAACTTTCATTGGTTTTAGTAATATTACCTTTTCCTGTTTCTTCCTCTCTCTCTGACCAAATATTTTCAATCAGCCTTTACAGTTTCTCCTTTTGAGCAGTAGTTTTTCAGACCTCTGCCAAAATATATGCATCCTGAATGCTGGTGTTCCACCAACTCCACCCTTTGCTCTCCTCTCTTCTTATTCTTCATATTCTCCCTAGACACTCACACTTCTTCTACACCCTTCTCCAGCTTCGGATGTTATAAAAATATGTATATCAACTACCCAATATGTACACACAGCCCAGGCTTCTTTCCCAAGCACAGATCAGTATGCCTGCCTATCCACTAGACAGCCCCACGTGAAGGCACATTCAATGCATCTAAACCCAGAACTCCCCAGGTAGGTTTACCCCTCTTCCTCTACTTCCTTTTTCTGTAGATGGCAGTACCATCCTTCCAGTCATCCAATCTAGAACCTTCAGAATTCTATCTTATATTTTCTCCTTTATCCCTTTTATACTTTCTATTGCTCACCAGGTCCTCTTAATTCTACTTTCTAACTTATGTTTCAAATATGTCTCTCCTCTCAATTCCCAATGCTATTTATTGACTTAGGTCCTCATCCTCTCCCATCTGAACCAGTGCAATAGCTTCTCAATTGCGCCCCCTGCCTCAAACATTTCCCATATCAATCCATCATACAATTTGTCCACTAAATCTATCTTCTAATTTTTACTTTTAGATATGACTAAAGTAATTCAGACTTCTGGGAAAATCGTAGATTGAGTTCATGTGGATTTACTTGTGCTCCAAACAGCTAGAGATAAATAAGGAGTAGAAACCACAATGAATTAAATAGGACACCATGAAAAAAGAACAGATAGATACGAGAAAAAAACTAACCATAATTCTGGAAGTAAAAAATACAGTCACTGAAATAAAAAGCTCAGTGGATCAGTTAACCATATGATTTAACAGGAGGTGAAGAAAGAATTCAATTCACTGGAAGATAATGTATCACAAAGAGATAAGACGATGGGAAGTATGACAGAGAAGTTAAAAAAGTAAGGTCCTGACACCTGACAGGATTTCTAGGAAAGGAGAGAGAATGGCAGAAGCAGCAGCGCTTGAAGTGATAATAACTATACACTTTCCAAGTGGAAGAAGCATGATGAATCTGAAGAAGGAAATGAAAACAAAGATACATCACATAGGGAACTACAGACACCAAAGACAGAGAAAACCTCTGTCTTTGAGAGCCATGAGAGAGAAAATCAGATTACCTACAAAGTAAGGATAACTAGATTGACAATGGACTTCAACGTCACAGAGAACACTGAAGTGCTCAAAACGCTAAGGGATGACTGACAATATGGAATTCCATGTTTAGCTAGACAATCATGCAAGTGTGAAGGCAAAATAAAGATATTTTCAAAGATAGTTTCTCATTTATGGACTCTTAATAAAAGAACTTTTAAAAGATTTCAGTAAAAAGAAAGCTGAACACAGAATGAATCATAGGATGCAAGGAGCAACAATGAACAAAGACTCTGGTAAACACTGACTCTATAAAATTAATGACTAGCAGGGAGATTCAAAACAAGGTCAAGCTAGAGTGCCCGGGTGGCTCAGTCCTACTTTGGCTCAGGTCATGATCTTGTGGTCTATGGGTTTGAGCCCCGTGTCGGGCTCTGTGCTGACAGCTCAGAGCCTGGAGCCTGCTTCGGATTCTATGTCTCCCTCTCTTTCTATGCCCCTCTCCTCCTGCTCACACTGTCTCTTTCTGTCTCTGCCTTTATCTCAAAAATAAATAAACATTAAAAATTTAAAAAAAAACAACAACAAGGCCAAATTAAAATACTGAGCAACAACATGGAAGATGGGAGTTGAGTGATGGAAGAAAAAAGGTTATAAGGTTTTTGTACAGTTTAGGAAGAGAACAGAGAAGCAAATTACCTTAAACTTTGTTAAGGCTAAAATTCAAGGCTAATCTGAAATAATACATATGGAATATGTAACAACATTAAAAAACAATTTTTTTTAGCATTTATTCATTTTTGAGAGACAGAGAGAGACAGAGCATGAGTGGGGGAGGGACACAGAGAGAGGGAGAAACAGAATCCAAAGCAGGCTCCAGGCTCTGTGCTGTTAACAAAGAGCCCGATACGGGGCTCAAACTCAAGAGACACCTTAACTGAGCCACCCAGGCACCTCTGAAATATGTAACTTCTAAACTAGCAGAGGACAAAAAAGGAGAAATAAAGAAAACTCTAATAGAAAACCAGAAAGGAGCCAAGAAAAGGCAATGAAGACAAAATAAACTGTTATTTAAAAAAGTGGAACACATAAATAAAGAAGTAATGGTTCTCTTCAACACCTCCAATGTCATATCCCAAAAGCAGTTTTCCAGATCTTTATCAAAATACAAATGTAGAGGGTGAAATGAAAACTACTTAGCAGAATAGGCTAAATCCCTTTATGACTTGGTCTTGATGGCTTGTCTAACCTCATCTAGTTCACCACTACGTATATATCTTAAGTCGAGCCATATATCCTGGTAGTTCCTAAACACAGGATCGGCTCCAAGTCTCCGATAACTGCTGTTATGTCTACAATGCCCTTCTCCTCTCTTCTGTACTTGGCAGGCTCCTACTGCTATAGGAAATCTGTAAGATTCTTCCTAAGGAAAAAATTAGCTTTTCTGTGACAGCTTCCTTGACCTCCACCCCCCTGGCAGTAATACAGTAATCATTCTGTATTTCCACAGCACTTTTGAACATACCTCTAACTGGCCAAATGTCATTGTATTTATAATTATTTAAATGTCCTTTTCTTCACCTTGAGCTAATTCATCTTTTAATCTCTAGCACCTGGCACAGAGCAGGCACTGATGCTTGTTGGATGAAAGATGAACACAGAATTTCTAAAGAAAACAGGAGGTTACACTCAGCAATTTTCTCAACATCTAAGGCTCTGTCTTACCTCCACGATACTCTTGGTCACAGGAGATCTTCCTCTTCGAAGCTCATTGGCTTCTCTTTGTACAAAACAGAGTGGTACTTTTCCTACAAGGACCAGAGAATCGTTCGTGTCTGGAAATATAATTTCAAGGCCCAGATCTTCCAGATTTTTATGGTAGCACCTAAAGAGAGAGCTTCAATTACAAAACTATTACTTCATTCGCATTTCAGCTTGAGCCCCAAGCACTGGAGGGTTTCTCAAAAGATGCCACAAATTTTAAAAGTTGTACTGTTTTTCTCATACATTTGTTTAGGAATTTTATTATCAAATTTCCTTTTCGAATTACAGTAACTTTCATTTTTTCCCTTCATTTCTGTTAAGAGGATCAATTTGTTTTAAGTCTTGTTCCTAAGTTTTTATTCTTCACTGAGGAATTGCTAACTTCTCACTGCTGGCACTTCAAGGATTTTGGCACAAATCGAAGGGCTGAGAATGTTCTGAATCAGCATTAAAGCAGGGAGATAATTTACAGCCCTAGGAACTGAGAAGCCCTGATTAACAGGATGTAAATAAATGGATCTGCCTCTACTATAAATTATGCCCCAGGGAAAAAGATTTATTGGCAGTAGCATATTCCCAAACCTGATATAAATTCATACACAATTCTTTATTTCCAATAATCTGTGCTGCCCAAAAGTGGGAAAACGTCCTATCTTGTGACTCACCATATGATCTGCCCCTTCCTTGTGGCCCAGTGTTGTACTTTTTCCCCAGTATGATTATGATAATGAAAACTAAGAATCTAGGATGCATCAAGGCAAAGCAGAATGGAAGCAATTACTGAAGTAACTTTGCTTTCAGAAACGGCGCAGCATAAACATGGACTTTTCCAAGAAATGGTAAGAGTATTCTAAGCCAACTGCTGGAAAAAATTATCAAGGAAACTCTATCCTATACTCAACAGCTGTGATATAGTGGAAAGAACAGCATCTGAAGTCAGAAGACCTGCATCTGAGAGCATGCTACACCACTCAAGAGTTGTTATGACCTTGAACAAGTCACATAACCTCTTGGTCTCAGGTGCCTCATTGGAACAAAGGAACAACAGTTATGCTTGTACCGCACAGAATTACTGTGAGAGTTTACACTGTATGTATCACATACCCATGGTAGGACTAACCGTAAGAGTCTGCTTTGCTCCTCTGTCACTGTTACCTCTAGTGGAGGGCTTACGATGGAGGATAGTAATTTTTTCCGACCAGAGCCTTGTGGCTGTTGCTTCTCATAGGAATCTATTGGAAAAGAGATGAATGGGTTCAGAGTAGGAAATGAAGTCTTCTAGACTTCAGAAAGAGCATGAGAAGGCATAGCCATGTTAACTATTATCATGCTTAGCAGTGTGTTCAGGTTTAGGCTTTGAATTTCCATTACTAAAGTCAAACGAGTAAATATCCAGTCCATTTATTTATTTCAGCAGTATTTCCAAAATAAGATGTATAAGACTTAGGTCTTACATTCAAATGAACAATGCAAAGTTCCTGTAGATAGTCAATAAATGTGGTTTTAATAATGGGGTGAAAAATGTTGATTACTGAAGAAATAAAATTGGTTTACTATATAATTCTATGGTTCAAGAAGGCTTCCTATTACTTCAGAAAGGTTTCCCAGTCTCTGAAGAGAATTGTCAGTACTGTTCTCAAATGGTCCTGAGCATACAGCAAGTTTTTCTAAAACTGTTTTTACCATATCTTTCCCAACAATTAGGTAATTTCATAAGGAAAAGTGAACTTGGAAGTAATACCATTGCCATTCTAGTCCGTGAACTCTCCCTAGATCCTCACTGAACTCTTTGACACAGTTTTCCATTATTTGACCACAAGAGTAAAGATTTTCCTGGGATTTTACCACTTGGAGAATACACTGCCTCATGGTAAGAAAAGAGGGTAGCAAAGATTAAAAAGCACATATTGGCTTTGGAAAAGCATATAGCAAAGTAGTGATATTGGTTGTCTCTGGGGAGAGAAACTAGGTGGGATGAAGAACAAGGGTAAAAAGAAGACTTTATCATATTCTATTCTGTACCTTTCAGACTTGAACTTATTTCATTATACTACCTATTCCAAAACAAATTTTAAAGTAAAAACAATATATTGGGCCTTCTGAGCTGGTGGTGGTCTCTGCCTGATGAACTGTGAAGAAGGTATACCAAGATCATATGGGCACACAGAGAGGCGTAACTTTCTGATGGATGTCACGATAAAGTAGTCTAAACCTTAGACATCCAACCCTTAGGGCTGATGATAAATGTATGGGAAATATGTCTTTGACCATGTAAGACCACCAAATTTGAATCCCTAAAGTGAATCACTATATTCTTTCAGTTAAGCAAGAACCCAAACCAGAAGACTTCAGCTTAATTTCTTAAACATACAATTCATCTTTCCTCACAACAGTCACAGATAGAAAAACTCTTTCAGTATACTAATTGTGGAGGGCAGTTTCAAATATTTTCTAGTTCCAAACAGATCCTTACCACTAATCAGCTGCTCTAAACGGACACGCTCATGGGCGGCATGTTGATCCACTAACACTAGCAGGTTTCCACCTAGAACATGAGCAAGGATTACTGGAGTATCAAATTCTCAGATCGAGATTTAAATAATCATGTTGTGTAGAGGGAAAAAAAGGTTAATTCAAACTAGTTAATGACATAAGCATAAGAGAAACATCCATACTTAGTATGTATCTTTCATTTCTTAAAATATTGAAATTATGGGGAAAACTATAAATTTATCCCTAATGAGAAACTTTTTACTACATTGTTATTTCATTTATAAAGCAAGGTTAAAGCCCTATATCCCTAATGTTTAAATACTGATTTTGCTTTACTAATTAAAGTTGATACAATGAAGGACCTTAAACACATTCTCAAAATCAGCTGACTTTGATTTGCAAGCTACTCTGGCGCCCATGAAAAATGTAATTCTAGTACACTTTTTGTTTCCAGAGAGTGTACTTTTAATAAATGACAGATGTGATTCACTTTAAGAAACATTATAACCAAACATATAAATTCAATTTGTTGATTTACATTATATAATAATTATGTATTTTAAATTGAAGTGTAATTAGAGTTTTTTAAAAAGACAGGCTGCTTCTGGCCAGTTTAAACTTTTCTCACAAACCATTTACATATTAAAAAGGTGCAGGCCAGAACTAGTCCACTTTAAAAACATTTCTTTTTTTAATATTTATTTATTTTTGAGAGAGAGAGAGAGAGACAAAGCACAAGAGAGGAAAGGGCAGAGACAGACAGAGGGAGACCCAGAATCTGAACAGGATCTAGGCTCTGAGATGTCAGCACAGAGTCTAACGCGGGGTTCCAACCGACGGACAGTGAGATCATGACCTCAGCTGAAGCCGACTTCAACTGAGCCACCCATGCGCCCCAGATCTAGTCCACTTTAGATCAGAGGTCAGCAAATGTTTTCTATGAAGGGCCAGATAGTAAATATTTTAGGCTTTTTAGAACATGTTCTTTGTCACAACTACTCACTATTCCTTTTGAACCAAAGCAGCCATAGACAATATGTGAGCATTGTAGCTGTGTTCCAATTTATGGATACTGAAATATTAATTTCATATAATTTTAATGTGTCAAGAAATATTATTATTCTTTTGATTTTTCAACCATTTAAAAATGTAGAAACCATTCTTATCTCCCTGAGTGTACAAAAGCAGGCGATGGTTGGATGTGACCCACAGCCACGCTGGCTTGTTTTAGACTCAGGCTTCGCAAACTTTGCTAAGCATACCAATCACGTGAATCCTATTAAAATGCAGACTCAGATTCAGTAGGTTAGAGATGACACACAAGATTCTGCAATTCTAACAAACTCCCAACTGATGCTATTTACAGACCACTGAAAATCATTTGAGATGCAAGGCTTTGGACTCTCAAGTGTAAAAGAGAAGGCAGAATATCCTGACCCAAAGAGCCAAACCTACAGGGAAATCCTTTTCTCATTGACAGGAGGACTGATTCTCAATTACATTATCATATCTTTTTATCTTGTAATTTTATTAATTTGGTCCAAATGTTGAGATCTATCACTATCAGTTACTTTGAAATAAAGGTTTTCCTCCTGAATTTGATCAAAATAGATAATACCTGTTTTTCACATTTCTACTAAAGAATATAATGTTTTTATGACACCATCAAATTCATGGCATGAGATCTTAAGACTTAAGGGAAAAAAGGAACTAATTTTTCTGACAGCATGTTCAACCACAGGCAGAGGCCCCAAAATGTTGAATTTTAAATTCCTTTGAGGATAGGAGGAGTTGCAGCTGGTTGTGATGAATACTGAACATCCTGTATTGGGCAAAACAATGGAATAAATAATAAATTGTGAGGGAGTGACCTCAAACTTGAAATTGGAGTCAGTGTGAAGTACCAAGAGTCAGGAACCCTAAGAAATCAATGGTGGCAGAATGATTTATAGTCTACATGGGGTTCACAACATTTTCTATTCCTTGAATGTAGAATATATGAAAGTAATTTAATAATATCAGAAGCTGTATTTTTTAAAAATGTTTTATTTATTCCTGAGAGAGAGAGAGACAGTGTGAGCAGGGGAGGATCAGAGAGAGAGGGAGACACAGAATCTGAAGACGGGTTCCAGGCTCTCAGCTAGCTGTCAGCACAGAGCCCGACACGGGGTTTGAATCCACAAACCATGAGATCATGACCTGAGCTGAAGTTGGCGCTCAACCAACTGAACCACCCAGGTGCCCCAAAAGCTGTATTTTTGATATCCTAACACAACAGAAGTTTCATAAGGGCAAGGGATTCTTTTTTATCTTTACTTATTTTTATTTATCTTTATTTTTTATTTTAGAGAGAGAGCATGAGCAGGAGAGAGGGTCAGAGGAGAGAGAGAGGGAGAGAGAGAATAAGAGAGAGAGAGAATCTGAAGCAGGCTCCCTCAAGCCCACAACCATGGGATCATGACCTAAGCTGAAATCAAGAGTCAGACACTCAACTGACTGAGCCACCCAGATGCCAAGGGCAAGGAATTTTATCTGTTGTACTCCTAGCATGTACAACGGTACCAGGCACATAATAGGCACTCAAATATTTACAGAATAAATAAATGAATCATTCTTTGGTGTATCAAAACTGAACAACTGTATTTTATCATAGGTGGAAATATGCAATACAAAATGCCTATATATGGCATTAATTTCACTATAATTTAAAACAGTAATAGGGGCTCCTGTGTGGCTCAGTTCGCTAAGGGTCCAACTGATCTCAACTCAGGTTTTGATATCAGGGTCATGAATTCAAGCCCTGTGTTGGGCTCCATGCTGGGCATGAAGCCTACTTAAAAAAAAAAAAAAAAAATTTAAAACAATAATATATTTATCAGTTACAAAAATATGTGCACCTATTAAAATAAGTCAATTATAGGAACAGGTTGCTTTTAGTAATCATGAGTGACAGTAAAAACACTTACATTTTTATTTTAATAATGTATTTATCTAAGAGTACTCTTTGGTGGCATCTAACTAAAGGTGACTATTGAACAACATGGGTATGAATGGCACAGGTTCACTTACGTGCAGATCTTTTTTGATAAATACAGTACAGTACTGTAAATGTATTTTCTCTTCTTTAGCTTTTCTTAGTAACAATTTTTTTAGCTTACTTTATTGTAAGAATACAGCATGTAATATATGTAACATACAAAATATCTGTTTCTGTTATTGGTGAGGCTTTGGTGAACAGCAGGCTTTCAGCAGTTAAGTTTTGGGGGAGTCAGAAGTTATACATAGATTCTGACTGTGCAGGGGTTTGGGACACCTCTGCATTGTTCAAGGGTCAATTGTAATCCAATGAAAATAGAGAAATTTAAATAGGCCCCTTTTGCTTCTCTGAACATCTCAGATTTTGTGGCTACACCCATCTCAGGTGCCATTAGTAGAGATTTCAGTATTAAACAACAAAGAATTCCAGGTAATCAAAACCTTAGAAAAAAATCTATTCATTTTCCCAAAACAAACTACTAAAATTTGACTTTCACTGACAATTTTTATGACAATTCTGATCTATTATGACATTTACTAAATAAATCTACAATGCAAGCAAGGTAAAAGGGAGTATTTTGAAATACAAAGAGAATGAACTGCTTTCCAACTTTAGAAGCAGTCACCTGCAGGTCTGCTTGTCTGGTCCCAAACCCTCCAATGGTGCTCAGGGCCCTCAGCCACCCATGCTATCAGGCATTCCTCGTAAATGTGCTCAAGAGTCTTCCAGTTGGAAAAACACACACACACACACAAACAAAAAACAAGCCTTCTTTCATCCTCACCCTCCTTCAGTCCTTCTCTTCCATGTCACAGATTTCTGAGTCTCTCCTTGCAATCTCTGTCACCTGGTCCTGGTACATCATCCACTCAGCTATGGAGGTCAGAAAGCTAGGAGTCATCTTTGATCTCCCTTCCCACGGCCAATGCATCACGGAACCCTGCTGGCTTTCTCTCTCTCCTAGATATCCTTCCAAGACATGACTTCTCTCTAGTCCACCTGCGTCTTCACCAACTACCATCTTTAGATATCGCAATATCCTCCCTACCAGTCTCTTTGCAGGTACTGGGACTCCACCCCACCCCCAATCCATTCTCCACACCGCCACAGAGCAATATTTTCAAAGTACAAATGGAATGTGACATGTGCCACTGCAAAAACAAACAATAAAAAAGAAAACAAAAAGCTTTCCACTGTTTCCAATTGGTGTCTGGACAAGTACAAAGCCTATAACTGGCACTTAAGATCTGGCTGTGACCTACTTCTCCGACCTCATCTCTGCACTCTCACTCCAGCTGCACTTGCCCTGCTTCCTCTCACTAAAGAAGAGGAAACACAAATTGCGTACCATTCCCTCAGCCCAGAATACTCCCTCCCTTCTTTACTACCTAGTTAACTGCTCGTACTCCTACTCACTTTACCAAGAAAACCTTCCCAGGCCTCTCTAATTAATTCAAATCTCTCTGTAAAGTTTCTAACAGCATCTTGTTTCTCTCTTTTGTAACATTAGCTTGAGTTAAAACTTTAACGTTTATGTCCTTATGTTTCTCTTACATGTGTATTTTTGCCACCACTGTAGCTCTAGGGCCTAGTACAGTCTCTGGCATGCAACAGGCACTCAATATTTGCTGAATGGGTTAATGTTATTATTTACAAACTATTATTGCTTTCTTAAAGTAGGTCATCAAGATATTGTATGTAATTCTTAGATAAACTTAGCAGGGCTCATTATATAAATGTTCTATTATTATAAAGGGAACACATGAAAACATTATCAAAAAGTCAAACACTATAACACATTTTAGAGTAAAAGATGAAATTTCCCCTTTGCTCACTCTCATTGTTACTCCAAAGGTAACTATTATTAATAGTTTAAAATGTATCTTATACATGAATATCTCTGTATATGTATACAAAACTAATATATCTTAAAACTGTTGTTTCAGAGCCTGGGTAGTTCAGTTGTTAAGCATTTGACTTCAGCTCAGGTCATGATCTCATGGTTTCTGAGTTCGAGTCCCACATCAGGTGAGCTCATGCCCTGCTTCGGGTGAACTCTGCTTTGGGGAAGCATGACCTCTGCTTCGGAGGGGCACAAGCCCCTCTTCAGGGAAGCCCAGCTTCTCTCTCTCTCTCTCTCTCTCTTTTTCTCTGCTCCTTATGGGATTCTCTCTCTCTCTCCCTCTCCTTCCCCTTTCTCTCTTGCCCCTCACTCATTTGTGCCCTCTCTCTCTCAAAACAAAACAAAACAAAACAAACCTATTCTTTCATAATATTAATTTAGATTGGTTTTCCCAATTAGTTTTAATCTGTCCAAATCATTACCACTAACATATATAAAAAGTACCTTAAGGAGTGCCTGCATGTTTCAGTCGGTTAAGCGTCCCACTCTTGATTTTGGCTTAGGTCATGATCTCACGGTTGTGAGATCAAGCCCCACAGATGTGTCAGCACATCTGTGCTGTCAGCACAGAGCCTACTTGGGATTCTCTCTCTTCCTCTCTCTGTCCCTCCCCTGCTCATGCTTGCTCGCACACATGCTCTCTCTCAAAATAAACATTAAAACAAATTTTAAAAAACTTAAAAGGAGACTATCAGAAGACCAGCTGGTTATTAATCAAAGCTAAACTCCATTCTTACCTGCCTCACCATTCTCTTCAGTCTTGGTGCTCATTAAACAGGCAATAAACTTGTTATCCACTTGCTGTAGAACCTGCCATACATTCAAATAAGTGGTACAACACTAAATAAAGATTAACAAAGTCTCATCTCCATAAAAAGAGATAAAACTGTATTTAATTAAGAGTCATTTGCATTATAATATTCATATCTAAGACTACTGTATAAGGTATTGATGAACTTGAAGGAGTCATTTAGGAAGGATTAAAAAAATGGACAAGTAGAGTGATCAGAGGACAGAAAAGGAAGGAGACTACAGGTTAAGGATTCTAAAAAGGGCATGCAACAAAACTTTAGAGTACACCTGAAATTTTCCCAAAAGAATGACTCTTATTGATAGGTAATTATGACCAGAGAACTGTTAACATGACCAGAGACTGCTAACAAATGGGGCTAAAATACATTTTGAACATTTATGCAAAAGTAAGGAAACCCTTTCAGAAGAGCTAGTCCCTTAACATAGCAAGTTAATAGCCAGCAGGGGCTTTAACCCTCGGGGGCTCCTCTCTGTCCAGGTACAGAAAAGGTTCTCCTTGCACTTCCCTGCCCCATTCCCAAAATAAATGTACATTAAAACTGTCGTTTCAGCTCCTGAGTAGCTCAGTCATTAAGCATCTGACTTCGGCTCAGGTCATGATCTCACAGTTCATGAGTTCAAGCCCCGCGTCAGGTAGGCTCATACCCCATTTTAGGTGATCAAAGCTTGCTTTGCTCTGGTACCAGGTCAGTGCCAGGTTAGGGGTTTACCTATATCTGTCTAACCTCCTAATTTGTTTCCATACTGAAAGCAAGAAGGTGAAGACGGCCTGAGTCGTGTACGGAGAGGGCAAACTAGCAAAGCAGGTGAGACAAGGGGCCCCTTTTGTTAAGAGAGATCCTCAATCTGGAGTCTCCTAAGCCATGAGACACACAATAGAGGGTCCTTTAGCAAGGGGCATTGTTGCACATTTAAGGACAATGTCTCTACAGTATTTAGTTGATTTAGAAATTATTGTCAAAATATAAAGTCAATATATAATCCTTGAAACTGTAAGCCTCAATCCATAATTCATCCCTCCAACCTGCTCACACTATTAAAGCCATTTTTTTCTTTGTAACCCAAATTGGTCCTCTGCTTTTTCTTCTGATAATAAAAGTTCTGGTAAGACTTAAAAAAACACATGTGCCTTGACCAAGGTGGTCTAGATCATCAAATAAATCCAATTTCACAAGAGTTAACCCAGTTTAGGTCTTATATATATATTTTTATGAGATTTCAAAGTCAATCTCTTACCTGCATTGAATGAATCATTTCTTTGGTGAAACGATAAGGATATAAGACATTGTGAATTTTAACTGCCAGGCTTTTGGCCTGGCCACTGCTTACATCAACAGCAACCTAGAAAGACCCAATACAAACATCATTTAAGTGTTTAATTCTTTATATCTGCAGAACTGTTTTACCAAAGATCCCAAACTGCTTTAGAACCTTCATTTTCATAGAACCTATTAGAGGTGGGTTGAATTCAGGGAACTTAAAGAAATTCAAAAGGCTCTGTGAATTATTAGTCTTACGTAATAATTTTTGGGCATTAACAAAAACCAATGGTGTTTCAGAATAACAATTTGTTTATGCTCCATGATCAAGTCTTTAAATACATCGTAGCTAAAAAAATCAGCAATCGAGTGCTCATTTATTCTACACGTTTTTCACAACACACAAAGTACATTCTGTGATAACCCACTGGGGAGAACATGTACACTCCGGTCCAATGATGAGCTGTTCCTTCAGTAGAAGACTCACTTCACTACTTATCTAATGATATTAACAGTTCTTTTTTTTTTTTTTTTTTTTTTTAAATTATCACCACCCTCAATACCCTGCCAAAGCTGCAAGGTAGGGTTTCTAAGAGTGGTAAACACATTCAGTAATCACACACTGACTATACATGTTTAATCCAAAATGTCTGAGCTCCCAAATGCTATGGATTCTGATTTCTCCTCTCTCTATTAAACAGTATTTCCAAATAAATTATTTGGAAACAGGCCCACTTTCCACTTGTAATTAAAAATAATATAGCCAGTCATGCCCATATCCAACTTAAATGAAGTACAAATTTTAAAATAACAAGCAAAGAAAAGTTGCTACAGACCCACCTCTGGATAACGGGCAAATACTGGATTTTCCCACTCTGAGAACAAAGACTGAAGTGATTCTCTACCAACAGCATCATCCACAGCACCTAAGGCAAAAGGGAGCAGATAAAGTTGGCATCAAGAGCCACAGAAAAAAAGATGAGTGACACTCCTATTTGCTGTGGTACAGCTTCAAGATCAAAGATCAGACATCTTGTTCCAATATTCTACAAATGCTCAGTGCTTGCTGGATCTCTGAATTGTTCTGATCTGTTACTTTTTAAGTTACAGCTGATGACTGTATCTTCTGGCATTATAGCTTTTTTCTCCAAACTATTTTCAAAAGATATTACAGAATACAAATCCAGAAGAAACTGGTTCAAATTAGTAGTCTCACTTCCTTTAGGTAAAAATATACCTTACCTATTTTTAGAAACAAAGAACAGTGTCTGTAGCTTTTTTTTTTTTAATAAGGACGTTGCTTACATAAAACTACTACAATACGGAGTGCAACTCCAATCTTTAAAAATAAGAGATATTTTCTCAATCACAAGACACCACAGACTGTGCATAATCATCCAGTATTGACTTCGAGTCTGGAAAAGTAATTTCTCATCTAAATGCATGCACTGAATTACTCAGTTCTGTTGTTAAATAGGACCATGGGGAATTACCGGTTCCAGTAAGGCACAGCTGGCCCTGATCAAGCTTAATAATACAACCCTGCCTTTTAAAAAAAATTTTTTTTTAGTTAGGTGGTACAGTATGTACTAGATGTCCCAGCAATCTCTGTTATTGCCCCTACCTCTGTTAGTCTGTCTCATCACAGTCCTCTCTTCCCGAGCTCTAGGAAGGAAAGGAAGAACAAGGTCGCTTCTAAAAGGATGACACTTGTGCTGAGATCCTAAATGTAAAAAAGAAAACCTAGACATTTGAAATCAAAATATAAAGTATTAAAAAATCAAGTTACATAAAATCTTCCTGCACAAAAAGTCAAGACATAAGGCAGACTACTAAGCACCAGATTGAGAGCCAGAGTCTTTTAAGGAAGTTATGCTGCTAATTTAGGAAACTACATTAATGCTTAGTTCCATTATCCATATATACCAGACAGAATGAGCACCTAAAATAGATCACTGATTCTCAAAGGGCACAATTTTGTATGGGGGACATTTGGCAACATGTGGTTGCCACAACTTGGGTAAGGGGTGCTACTGGTATCTAGCAGAGCTAGAGACCAGGGATGCTGCCAAATATTCTACGTGAATAGGACATAGGTAGAACCCTACAACAAAGAATGATGAGTCCAAAATGTCAATAGCATCACGGTTAATATAGCTGGTAATAGACATACACCGGTACTTAATTGTTAGCCTTCACTACTTGGTGCAACCTTCACAAGTCCCCAGTTTATGTCTCTTATACTCAAAATATGCTTTTATTATAACATTTATCTGCTATTATGTTTAGATAGCTGTCTTCCCTAATTGATTGTGAACTCTGGAAAGCCAAGCCAGTGAATCTGCAATCTAGCACAGTATGAACAATAAATGGATGAAAAATGAACAGATAAATGAATGAAAAGTTCTCAATTTAAACTCCAAAGTCCAGGGATGCCTGGGTCGCTCAGTCAGTATGGCGTCCGACATTTGATTTCAGCTCAGGTTGTGATCTCACAGTTGGTGAGTTCAAGCCCTGCACTGGGCTCGGTGCTGATAGCATGGAGCCTGCTTAGGATTCTCTTTTCCTCTCTCTCTCTCTGTCCCTCCCTGCTTGCTTGCTCGCTCTCTCTCAAAAATAAACATACATTAAAAAAATAAACTCTGAAGTCCAGTATTATCTGGCTCAAATTCTGCTCTCCTATCTGAAGGATGATTGCGTTTTAGAAACAATGCCTAAATTTGAGTTTTGGAATAGGGGCAAAACATGATGAAACTATATTTCAAAACAAGAAATCTGTTGGACAAGAACTGGAAAGATTAATTCAGAATGATAAAATTAAAGGGTAAGGTGAAATAAGGTTGTGTTACTGGTAATAGGACAGAATTAGAGGCATTTCATTTTTTTAATTAATGGGTTTTTTTAAGTTTTTAAACTTTTTATTTATTATTTTTGAGAGACAGAGAAAGAGCATGAGCGGGGGAGGGGTAGAGAGAGGGAGACACAGAATCTGAAGCAGGCTCCAGGCTCTGAGCTGTCAGTACAGAGCCCGAAGCGGGCTCGAACTCACAGTGAGGTCACAACTGAGCCGAAGTGAGATACTTAACGGACTGAGCCACTCAGGTGCCCCAGAATTAAAGGCATTTTAAAGAAACAAACTGCCAAGGCTTGGAGACTTGACACTACTCCTTAAAATTCCCTTTATAGATCTTCTCTTCTGTACAATTTACTTCTTAACAATTCATCTTAAGTAACGTTTTTATGTATGATTCCACAGTGTCCCAGTGTCCCACCATACATGAGTCCCTTACAGACAGTAACATTTGACGTTAATGAAGGGTGTTTAGGAGCCATCTTTCCATGGAACTTGTTTCTATACCCAACATACTTATTTATTTTTTTCTTATGAAATTGAGTTAACATGACACTTCAAAGTTCACTAAAGACTTGCTAATCCAGAAAGTTAAGCAGGCTGAAGAGTTTTCAACATCTAGACTCGTTCAATAGGAGCAGGTGTTTAACGTTGCCTTCGGAAACCGAGATTCCTTCCCCTTCTGCTTTAGCAGCAACCATCTCAGGTTAATGTAATCACAGTCCTTTTTGTCTCCATTTAAAAGCGGTTACATTTCAGGAAGATGAGGTGCCAGTGCCTTAGGTTTACTTCTGATAAGCAGTCAGTATAAAACAGGACATAAAACTACATTGATTGAAAAACACATACGTCTCTAAGAACAACCGAGAGTCCAGGAGCAGAACTGAAAGACAGTTCTCCTACTTAAAACTTTGTAAGTTTTGACTTTTGAAAGCGCTTGGGTGGCTGAGTCGGTTGAGCATCCGATTTTGGCTTAGGTCATAATCTCACAGTTGGTGGGTTCGAGCCCCACATCAGGCTCTGTGCTGACAGCCAACTCAGAGCCTGGAGCCTGTTTCAGATTCTGTGTCTCCTTCTCTCTCTGACCCTTCCCTGTTCATGCTGTCTCTCTCTCTCAGAAATAAATAAAACATTAAGAATTCTTTTTTAAAAAAGCTACTACAGTGATTATTTTTTCACGAGAAAAAACTGAAAACCACTAAAAAATAAAGGCCTTATTTATTAACCTTAGTAAATCAGAGCCTCCTACTAGAGATATTCATGCTAAGGAGAGTTACAAGTTAATTTACAATTACATTCATACAATTTACATTCTTCTGCAATATTCAAGACTTTTAATATGGATGCACATTTAATGTTTATCCTCCCGATGCAAAACCAAGATTATAGCCAGATGGAAATCAGTCTTACCATCTCCCAACATCTGGCTCTCAACATACTGCCAAAACAATGTCGCTTTTAATGCTGAAGGAGATGTGAGAACTCAAGAGTCCCAATCTGTGCTCTGATGTAGCCTTGTGGTATGATTTAAAAGCCACATTACCGTCTTCCTGAATAATGGCTACTTACAGCATAAACAGATCAAACGAATTAGCATATGTATTATAATAAACTATGTCTGAAAAGTATAGTTAGGAAAATACACACTTAACCTACGTTTCAAAATACTTGTGGTCTTTTTTTAAAAAAACACAAAAAACTTTCAAAATATATAGAACTGTACTGAGCCACAGATCTGGGGGGAAACCTAGGATGATTACAGGATCATTCTGGCTCTTCACCTGGGAGCTGCAGAGAGCCACTTCCAGAAAAATATCACACTGGCATTGCAGGTATCTTACAAGACAAATTTCTAGGAGGGTTGTACATTTGGGGGAGAGAAGAAAGGAGGGTAGGGAAGCATTGTAGATTTTCTCAACTATTAATAGTACCATTTTCATTAAAAATGGTCTCACCCTCCTACACATCCACACATCCATAGACACATATACATACACTTCCATTCTATTATGTCTTCCGCTGTATTTCTAGATGTAAATGGTATTGGAACTAGAAAATCTTTATATACCGTAAGACATGTTTTATAATTAAACTTCAAAATGATCTATCAGCTGAGATAATCTCTTTGGACAATGACTCTCTTGCTCTTTGGCCATTATTACCACCTTCAAAAGCATTCCATGCCAGTGAACACTATAATACACTTACCATTCTCAAATATGACATCCACAGCTATGGTTGTCAGGTCTTTAGTACAAGCAGCCTGAACATCCTCAGTAGGGGCGATGAATGTACTAAGTCCAGTTATTTTGTTGATGTAAACCATTTTTCCAAGGGCTACATCAAAATGCTGCTGCCAATCCAAAGAACACGCGTTTGACTCTTCATTTTCAGAACAAGTTCTTGCTATAGATTCTTCACTCTGAAAACAAGTTCCTTTTTTGTCAGCTGTGGAATCTTCTATGTGACTCATTAACATTTTACTGGGAGAGTCAGGACTTCCTATCTGTGGTTCTGAAGCTAGAAGAACATCTGACTCTTTACTGACAGCTGTAGCATGATCACAGGATAATACCAAAGGAGTTTCGGGTATCACAGAGTTCCCTGTTGTATTGTTGTTAGAGTAGGCTTTACTATCTTTATTGAAGGAATTATCCTGTGTGACAGAGTCCAACTCTGGAATGATGCCACTCTCTGTTTTTTTATACTCATTTTTAAATAACTTGCAAGAATCTAGGTTTAACCCACTGCACAAATCATGGTCTTTCCTACTAGAATCTGATTGTGGAAGTTCATTAAAATGACTCATCATTTCCATTGCTTGAGTCTCTCTTTCGGAACCTTTCATTCTGGATAATTTAGAGGCTAAAGACTTAGGAGACTGCTTGGCATCCAAAGGTTTTTGGTTAAAATCAGTTAACTCTTTTAGAGTTCTGGGACTTTCTCTTACGCAAAGCATCTGTTGTTCAGAACAATCTTCTTCACTGGAGAATGGAAACTTCTTTGAGTAAAAGATGTGACTTCCTGGCTGACAACTATTATTTGAATCATTATGTTTCATAGTAGTGATTTTACAAATGCCTGAGTTGTCTAAGTGACTCTTGTCTTTCCATGGAATGTCAGGTTCAACTTGAGGACTGAGACTGGTGGAGATTTCAAAATTATTATTTTCTTCTGCCTCTGTATTCAGAGGATTTTTATCCTTCCCATATTGCCTCTTGAACTTCTCTAAAGATCCGAGGTGTGACCTTAAGCTTAGCTTCTTACGGGCTGTAGGTTTGGAGAAACCAATCAATTTATCTATTTTCTTACCATCATTTGAAACATGTCCACACCAAAGGGAAGAAGAGGATGTGACCGGTAATAAGCAATCTATGTGTGATTCTTTAGTACATTCCTGAGATATAGCAACATTTTTACAAGTTCCTTCCTTAGAAGTAGAAACATTTTTACAAGTTGCTATGGGTTTGTTCTCTAGCCCATAACTTGTATTTGTTTCACACAATTTTTTGTTAGACAGTTGAGCAAAGTCTTTACTTAAAGTGCTGGTTACATCTTCAATGTTTGGAGTCTCAACTGAATGGCATGCTCTATTTACAAATATTTCTCTGGCACTCACAGGACCAGGTTGAATACAGTTTTTAAGTAAATGCTCTCTTTCAGTTGATTTAGTTTGCTCATTTTGTACCACATGAGTTATAAAGCCAGTGGAACATAATTTAACTTGTCCATAACTAAAAATGTTTATTCTTCCACAATTACTAGGTTGCTTTTTTTTCTCTTCCTCTCTCTGGGCGCCATGTACTCTCGATAATGTTGTCTCAAAAGGCAGAGGTTGGGATGCTGTTTTGGTAGCATCTTTAAATCTCTCTAATTGATTCTGAACTCCACTATTTTTTAGGTTACTGAGTGCCATGCCATTAATAGTACTTGCTTTCTGTATTTCTAGATCTTCTCTATTCTTCTCAACACAGTATGATGTCTGAAAAGGGCTGACAAACATTTCTGAACTAGTTCCACATGGATTTTCTGAAGAGTTAAATTCTAAGCAAAGTTTCTTGTGTTTCTCATTTTCTCCTGATTCTGATGCTTCGGCCATCTGTTGTTCTAAGACCCTTGATTCTGAGCAACAGCTATCTTTGTTTTGTAAAGATGGCTCTGTCACTTTACCATGGCCTGGGCCATTTGGTTCATAAATGTACAAAAAGGAATCATTTGGTATTTTTCTGATAGCTTCTGAATCTCTAGAATTCTGTGTGTTTCTTCTGTTTTCTACGGTAGCTTTTCTTTTCACAGCTTTTGACTGAAAATTAAACATTTCATAGGAATCCAAAATACTATTACAGGCTTCTTGGAAACTGGCCTGGTCACCCTTCTCATCAGAGGACACATGCTTCTGAAGACTAGCACTAAATAACCTAAAATCATTATCTTCACTAAATTCCTTAATGTCGTCACCTGATAATTCCACAAATAATTTTTCTTTCTTTAAAAACATTTTCATTCCTTCCTGAATGCAAACCAGAACAGTATCCCAGTTCTGAAATTCAATTAGCGTTTTTGCTGGCTCCATGCACACATCATATTCACAGAACTGGCACTGCAAGTTGATCACATATATCCCATGGAGTTCTGGGTTAGACCGATGCCGAGGGCTTGAATTCATTTGTCTAGTGGCAGCACCGTTCTTTGGCTTGCAGATAACGCTTTCTTTCCTCAATAAAAAGCCAATGAATTTATGCAACTTTGTCTTTAAAACAAGTCTTTTGTTCACAAACAAAAACTGCATATTCTTATTGTAATGTGCTTCAGAGCTGACATAGCCACTAAGCTCAAACTCCTTGTATTTAAATTTTATTTCTCTTAATTTTTGGGACTTGCCCAGTCCATAAATTTGACAAAATCGGGAACATATGTCTTTGGTTTTAGGAAGCTGAAGAACCATGGAACCAGAAACATCATTCCTCAAAGAGAAAGAAATGGAAGGGTGCATGAGTGAAAGAGCTTCTATCCTCTGCCTAACCTTCTCAAACTCCAGTCTAGGATCCATGCATTTCCTCCTTACAGGTAACTGATAAAATAGGTTATATACTGTTACTGTTGTCCCGGCACTGGGTCTAGTCAAGTCAGCTTCACAGGCTTTCAGGGCTTTTCCATTCTGAAACAGTTTCACAAAAGTTTTCATTGTCTTGTTTTTCTTGGATGAAATTTCCACAGCACTGGCCATGTCAGCTATACTTGCCAAGGCCTCCCCTCGGAAACCATAAAACCTGGGATTCTCCAAGTCCTGTACAGAGTTGCATTTACTAGTGAAATAACGATTTCCCACCTTGTCTATATCATCACTCCCCATCCCAAATCCATTGTCAATCACTTGAACTTGGAAAGTTTCCATATTCACCCTGACAGCCACACATTTTGCTTCAGCATCAATACTGTTGAGGGCAAGCTCCTCAACACACTGGCCTAAGGAGCATACAGCCAAACCAGAACGCAATCTGGCTTGTACTTCAACTGACAGGCACTTGATCATGGCAGGTAGAAAGCTGTTAAGAATGCCAGGCAATGGCTTCCTTGTCTGACTGGAAATAATTGCCTACAGGAAGAAAAGACACAATCAAACCCTCAGAGTTACACAGCATTATCCATTTCTCTCAAGCATGATGGAGAAATACCATTTGAGGTAAATTAAATTGCTTATTAAACCACACTGTAAAAAACAAAACAAATTAGAGCTTTGATCTCTGCACAGATCACACAGCTCATGTTTAGTGCAGTGGATTTAATATCCAAAGCAGCATTCACAATTTCATAATTTTCACTGCTCCTTTCTAAATCCCACATGCCCTAAAGTGAAATCATAATCACGCTTGAAGCTGACCCATAAGACAGTGTGCACAATTCTAATCACTTCACCAAAAACAGATGTCTAAATTAAATTCAGCTAGAAATTCATGAAAAAAATGTCCAAGCTAGTTTCATAATATTTATACATTACACAATAACCACGGCTTTTAGTAAAAACTTATAATGAACTGTTAAGACAGAATAAATCAAATTGTTGTATCAAGAAGAGATAGGGATTAAGAGATTATTATTATTATTATTGGTTAAATGTTGTCTCAGGGGAAAGAGACCGGGAATGCAAAAGGAGAAGGCGGGAATTTTCATTATGAACTTTTCTGTATCATTCGATTTTTAACTCTTGTCCACATTTTACATTGATAAAAAGTTTTCAGAAGGTCCCTGTATTAATACTCTTTTGGTATTTACAAATGGCCGGCTACAAACTACTTTCACAGTAATAGTGATGGTCAGGGGCTGTCCAAACTTGATTTTAAGCTTTCCCTTCAGGTTAAAAAATATGAAGATCATAGTGTCATTAAAGGTCTCGTCCCTTCAGGGGGGAGAGAGAGCAGCACGGGCTGGCCTAAGGTGGTAGGGCTAGTTCTTCAAGCCCGGACATCACAGTTGCGATCACAGTTGTAATCGCAGATCTGATGTTTTTGAAGATACGGAACTTTGCAGCCGGCAGCTAATGAGAGGTAATCATTTAACAGGTATTCCGACTGTTACCCAACACGATTTCCTCATTATGTCCCAGTCTTCTCCGGGCCACAGTCAGAAAGGACGATTCGGCCCCGGTCTCGAGCTGGGAAAAACCAGGAGAGGGCGCGGGGGGCGGGGAGGGCAGGACCGCCGCCGCAGGCCCCCCAGGCTCAGGCTCCACCCCGTCCCCTCCCCCAATTCGCAGGCCGAACCCGGCCGCCGGACGCAAGAGGCCTCCCGGAGCCCCTGCACAGCTGGGTCCGAAAACGCTCGCGGCGGCCGCCATGGCCTTTCCGCTGTTAGAAGGGCTCCCGGAAACATCTATTCGATGCGTGCTTTCCCCCAAGTCACCTCGAACCGCGCTTCACCAACTCCCAGTTACCAACCGCCTCGACGCCGGGCGCGCGCAAGTTCGTTCGCGGGGCTCATGCACGAGCCACGAGCATGCGCTTCAGAGGAGACTCGCTGGGAACGCGCTTTCGTCGGGGACACCCAAATGCGCATGCGCAGCAGCTGCCGTCTGATTGGGAAACAAGGCGGGGTCTCTTCACGCTGGTACCCCTAGTTCTCAATCCTTATCCCCCTTTAGCATGGTGTGAAAAGCTGTTTCCAGCGATTTTCTCTGTTTTTGTCGTTTTCCCTTACCCCCTTTCTCCTCTGCACGTACTACCATTGAATTCAATATATATTTTGTGTTTATGTCGTCTCTCGCTATAATGCAACCTATTTGAAGGCAGGGATTTTATCTATTCTGTGTATTGCTGTATCCCTCAGCGCAAAAACAGTGCCTAGATTGTGAGGCACTGAATGGGTGAATAAATCCACAGTCTTGCGTCTTACAAAATTACAGCATTTCAGAGCTGGAAAAGTCTGAAAAAATAGCTCAACCCTCTTAATTTACAAATGAGGACACCAAGACGTCTCTCACTGACTTTGTTATGTTCCAATACCACTGCAGCTTCTTTTCAAACTGAATAAGAATTTTAAGAACACTGTGAGAATAGATGTTTGAGGAATTTTTTTTTTTAATGTTTAATTTTGAGAGAGAGAAAGCACGCGCGCACAGGCGGGGCAGGGGCAGAGAGATGGAGAGAGAAAATCGAAAGCAGGCTATGGGCGGACAGCAGCAAGCTCCATACAGGTTCAAACCTGTGAATTGCAAGATCATGACCTGAGCCTAAGTCTGACACTCAACATAATGAGCCACCCAGGTGCCCCAATATTTGGGGAATTACTAACCAATCCTTAGTTTTCGCTGTCTCATTTTCACAGAAATCTAGTATTTCCAAACATCATAATTTATGACAAACTTGTTAAACTCAGTAGGCATTTGCCATTTACCTGTGCAATGGCTGACCAAAACACACAGAAATGTGAAGGGCAGATGAGGCAAAGTCCCGATTATTGCTTGTAGCGCTGCCATAACAAAATACCACAGACGAGTGGCTTAAACAATAGAAGTCTATTTTGTCACAGTTCTGGAGGCTGGAAGTCTGAGATCAAGGTGCTGACAGGTTGATTTCTTCTGGGACCTCTCTTCTTGGCTTGTAGATGGCAGTCTTCTCCCTCTGTCATCATATGTTCTTTCCTCAGTGCACATACATGTCTGTATCCAATTTCCCTTTTTTTAAGGACACGGGGGCATATTGGATTGGGGCTTACTCTAATGTCCTCAGTTAGCCTCCAGATAGTCACATTTTGAGGTTAGGACTTTGACATATAAATTTGGGATAGGGGTGACATAATTTAGCCCATAGCATTGCTTTATATGAAATCCTTGCCCAGAGGAAAGGAATGATAGCAAGAATTCCAGACAAGTAAAAGTAATTAGTCCAAAATGTCATTTAAACAGCTAACCTTATTAGGTGTACAATTTCCTGAAGAAAATTTCACGAAAGCCATTTTTAAAAATGATTCAAAGTAATTGCTTTTTCTTTCAGCTCTCTTTAAATTACCTCAAAATTCTCTTCCCACAGATGGTTACTGAGTAAATACCTCTTATTTTGCCCCAAATGAAGTTCACCAAAGATAAAGTATCGTACACAGAATGTTCTATGTGTTTTTATTTATTAGGATTGTGTAGAGCTGTCATCCTTCTATCATACATATACAGCAATATTCAAACATCTGATACTGACATAACTTACTGACAAATTCTGATACTAAACACAGAATAGTTCTATTTTAACAATAAAAACAAAACCAGTGAGTTTATCTTAGAAGATTTAAATTCAGGCCATTATTTCACAATCTGGAAATCTGAGTACTCCAGCTTTAAGATGACTTTCTCATTCCTGAAGTTTGCTCTATCAATGTGTGATTTGGGACTTCCTCTTGTCTCAAGCCATTCCTGCATTTGACGCACTTTAGAGATGGGACCTTGCAACTGTCCTTGCACTGTGCCCTGGTCAGTGTTCTGGACCCAGCCAACCAATCCCAGCTTTTTACCCTCAGCCTAAGGGAAAGAAAAATATGAGAGAGAGAAAAATACAGTGAGACTGAACAAAACAGTGCGACTACAATCTGTTGCCAGAATCTTGGCCTAGAATCAAGCCACTGAAACTAATTTGATATTGTCCAGAACACTCAAAACAGAACTACAGCAAAGAGAATCTCATTGACCTTGACATGAAGTGTTGGCCACTTGATGCCATTTCCTTCTTCTACCCTATAAAACCCAGGCACTAGAAATTTCATTATGTAATCAGTTTGGTTAAGTACTAAAGACTTAAGTACTAAAGCAAATCAGATGCTTTCAAAATGATTCCCTAAGGCCGATTGTTGTTAGGATACTGGGCTGTATCTTGCTCATTTTCCCTTCTCCTAATCAAGAATCTAGTGGGTATATTAAACAGAAAAAGCATGAAGTTATCTGATCCTTCTCTTTGTCGTTAGCCAAGACCACACCTAAACAAATCCAGATGAATGAGTGTCCATTATATCTTTAAAAATCATTATCTCCTGGTCAACTCGTTCCTTTGTTCTCACTGTAGAAAAATTGTCTAACCCAAAGTCTTTATGCTACATCCAAAGCCCACTTTCTATCCCTCCTTCTAGAACAGGAAGAAGCATATAGTGATAAGCCTCTGAACATCAGTTTCATAAGACTATATAACTATTAGGTTTTCATTTGATTTTCTTTCTTCTGTCTAAATAATCACAGCACCTTTAAAGTTGAATAAGTTAGTGCTCGCTTCAGTAGCACATATGCTAAAGTTGAATAAGTTTATGAAGACCATCTGATCGTTGTAGTTGCTTTTATCTTAGCCTTTCCAATGTTCTTTCCTTTAAGTCATTAAACTGTGGAATGACTGGTAAACTGGGAAAGGTAGCAATGTTTACAGGTAATTTTTTTGGGTAAAACTTGCAAGCAGGGATATTATAAAAGTTATTGTTAAAGTAACCTATGTAAATGGAAGGAATTGGGTTACAAAAGAAAATGGGAGTTAACATGATTGCATGCCCAAATGCCAGAGTAGTGACCTAGTAAATATGGGAAATTGCTGCAGTTGGCCAAGGAAAATGTTATGCACAGCAAAACCATGTTTGATGAGAAACTAAAGTATCTATCAAATCAGTTATGTTCAAAGCAAAGATATATTTGTATAACAAACAAAGAGACTGCAGTCAAATAAATAACAAATTTAAGGGATACAGAGAAAATTAAGGAATGAAGAAAAATAGAAGATACCTACAGCACACATTAAGTGCCAAAATGGTGGCATAAAAAAAGAACACAAGAGAACGGATTTTAAGAAGACTACATCCAACTGACTTTGTATAACAATTGTACTCTTCTGCTTCAAGTTAATCGAGGAGACTTCAATATCCCTAGATCTTAGAAGCTACCTTATATGGTAACTAGATATAATAATGTTTGTATTGAGTTGTAAGCAGTTTATAGTCACATTAATCTTTAAATTGCAATGTGATTTATCTGAACTCCTGAGAGTGAAAAAAAACACTCCCAAGTTTGATTGGTGTTGAGAATGGGAATTTCCTGTAGGTTTTACTTGTGCATTTGATTCTGTTCTTATTTTTATTTTTATTATTTTTTTAAAGCTTATTTATTTATTTTGAGAGAGATAGAGACAGCGCAAGTGGGGGGGAGGGGCACAGAGAGAGGGAGAGAGAGAGAATCCCAAGCAGGCTGTCAGCACAGAGCTCAACACAAGGCTTGAACCTGCAAAAGCCTGATATCATGACCTGAGCCAAACCCAAGAGTTGGATGCTTAACGAACTGAGCCATCCAGGTGCCCCTGTTCTTATTTTTCTTTTTAAAGTTTATTTATTTATTTTGAGAGAGAGCAGGGGAGGGTCAGAGAGAGGGAGGGGCACTTGGGAGGCTCAACTGGTTGAGCAGCTGACTCTTGATTTCCACTCAAGTTATGATCTCCCAGTTTGTGGGATCAAGCCCTGCACTGGGCACTGCACTGACAGCTCAGAGCCTGCTTAGGATTTTCCCTCTCTCTCTCGCTACCTCCCTGGCTTGCTTGTGTGCTTTCTCTCTCTCTCTAAATAAATAAATAAACACACTATAGGGGCGCCTGGGTGGCTCAGTCGGTTAAGCATCCAACTTCGGCTCAGGTCATGATCTCATGGTTTGGGAGTTTGAGTCCCGCGTCGGGCTCTGTGCTGACAGCCAGCTCAGAGCCCGGAGCCTACTTCAGATTCTGTGTCTCCCTCTCTCTCTGGCCCTCCCCTGCTCATACTCTCTCTCTCTCTCTGAGAAATAAATAAAACATTTAAAAAATAAATACACTATAAATAAACAAACAAACAAATAAATACTTAAAAACCTTTTCTAAAGAGAGAGAGGGAGGGGGAGAGAGAGAGCATCCTAAGCAAGTTCTGCTCACCACAGAGCCCAACTTAGGGCCTGATCTCACGAAAGTAAGATCGCAACCTGGGCTGCTATCAAGAGTTGGATGCTTAACAGGCTGAGCCACCTCGGTTCCTCTATTCTGTTCTTATTTTTAAATAATAGCATATTTTTAAATGATAGCATAATGTTGCTGAATCATGTTCAGTTTTGAATATCTACAAACAAGTGAACAGTGTTTGTTCCTAAGAAAATTACAGGAAGCTAATTCTTCCTCATAACTATATTCTGGAAACATTATTTTAAGGAATATAATCACCAACTCCAGTCTCAATCTAAAAAGAAAGTCCTTTCAGATCAATAACCTAGACTTCCAGCTTAGGAAACTAGAAAAGTGAGATCAAGCTAAAATTCAAAACAAGCAGAAAGATAAAAATAATAAAGATTAGAGTAAGAGCTAATAAAATAGAGAATAGAAAAAAAGGAGAAAAATCAATGAAACCACAAGTTGGTTCTTTAGAAAGATCAACAGAATTGCCAAACCTTTAGCTAGACTGATAAAGAAAAAGAGAGAGAAGTCTCAAATTACTAAAATCAGT